TCTATTGATATCTGAGATGTATTTCTGTTTTCAAAGATGCGAGGTTATTTCTAAGGAAAGAGGATTCTTTTTAAAACTACATTTTCTTTGTTAATCTACAGAAATTCTACTTTTTAATATGTTCCTTTTAATATTTTAGTCTTTATATAGCTATGGATTATAAGTATCTGACTAACGAGTGTTTAAATTTTAATTGTTCATTTACTCTGCATTTTATACTATTGTATACTATGTTTTATATTTGTTATATAATTATTTTATGCAATATTTCCTATATTACTATTTTACCATTTCATAACCAGTTAACTGCGTTCGACGTGTAACGTCACCTTAAAATCAAAACGATACCGATTCTTTCAACGATAAATTATTTCAGATAAACATGTCATTCTTCTTCGCTCTAGCTTTTCGTTAGAATATATTCATAGGCACACTTGACGTGTGTTAAACGAGTATACTCTTCATTATTTGATTTCACCGCGAGCATTATCACAGATTTCTGAAATTAAATTCCACAGTTAACAGGCTCAATTACCAAAATATTCTACTATTCACAGACAATACAATATATAATCACCATCAAATCGCAAAAAATATTATCGGTTACAGTTTAAAACAACACCCATACGGAAATGTTATTTTTGCAACACCGTATAGCAACAAGGAACAAACGCTTCAACCGGACGGCTGACGCGTGACGCGGATCCGAGGTTGACGTAATCGGCCATGCCACGAAAATTGAAACTGTGTCAAATTGGAACAGCGTAGGCAAAAAAAAAGAACAACCGTGTGTTCACGTTAACGACGCACACAGCTCGTGGGACCGCGGGTCTCTGTGTCGCAGAGCGGCGGCCATTTTGCGGCCGTTGGAACACAGTCGCGACTGAAATTGTAATGCGGCAATTAATCTAATGGAACAACACGACGGCCTCGAGGCTATTACGGGGCGCGGAGACGATCTTCAGCCGGACGAAATTCGTCACCGCGCAGGCCACATGTATAATTTCCGGTCGGTGGTTCGAGGCAAGGACGCGGAAACCCCCGTCGCAGCCACCGTCTCGGGGAAAAGTTCTTTAATTGATCGAGGAGTCTGGACTGTCTCATTATTTCGCTTGAAAGGATTAGCGGCGGCCGCTTTAAATCCCCTGTAATGTTGCGCGAGTTTCTTGGGGATTAATTGAAAGTGAAATATCGCAATTTTCATCGATTTTCCGAACTTCTGCTGGACGAGTTTTTAATTATGAGTTTTGGTAATTATAAATCTCGTGGATAGACTTGTGTTAGGTGTGAGTGCTGGTTTCTATAAGTTTGTATACAAAGATATTGATTTAAACGTTTAATGTGATGTAGTAATAGTAAGTTTAATTTGATTTGGTAATTGCAAATTTAATCTGATTTAATAATTGAAAATTTCGTGGATATAGATTTTGTGTGATATTCATTGTAATATATGTTTGTAATTATAAAGGAAAGTATCGATTAATTTTTAAGTCTGACGACCTTGGGTCGTTGTTATTTGATTCACGAGATCTTTTAGCTGCAATATTAATCAGAAATAGAATGTAACCATTTAACAAATTTTTTTAAATATCTCTTCACATTTCTTGTCCAGAAACATTCCATTTCGCTGTTAAAACGTGGAGGGAAAAAACTACAGAACTTTTCTTATACTAACATTGATAAAAGGTAGTAGTTTCGTTCAATTTCTAAAGGAAACTTTTCCTATTCAACTAATGGAATCTGTGAGATCAGAAACAGCGTAACTCACTGCAAGCCAACTTTTCGAGACGAAGCGAAAAGTATTTTGCAATGTTCCGTGATATTTCTAGTTTAACTTCCACGTGTTCAAAATACAGGAACTGATTCTCTTCCTAAACATTCTTGATATATTCGGAAAGTTATAACAGATTTGAACAACTTCATTGGCACAGTGCTGTGATTTCGTTCCCCGCCTCATCGTACGTACCAATGTTTCATTTCAATCGAACATAAATCCGAAAAGAGCACAGAAACACAAAAATAAACAAAAGTCTCCAGAATACTATTCCACTTGATGCATCTCTTGCGTCAAAACACAGACAAATCTATCTCAGCAAATTTGAATCAATATAAGAACCATTAACAATTTTTCTACAATCAAATACTAAAACAAAAACTAATAACTTCACTATAATCAAACACTAGAACAACAAAACCAATAATAATTCCCCACAAACAAATACCAAAGCAATAAAACCAACAACTAATTCAGCAATCCAAAACCTAAAACCATCTCCACAAGAAAATTCATTCAAACTAATTCTATACCCAAGAAATTAACACTAGAACTACTGAGTACTTAAGCTGACTTTTGAAAATTTCTTCGTGAGAGCTACAAGTGTGTAATTATAATTTCAATTGGTTTATATATCAATTTAGGTATTACTAAATCAGTAATCATTAATTTCTCAAACAAGTATCTGTGCTTTTTCGATAGTTCCACAAGAAGAAATCGGAAATGGGTCATTTTGACCTATCTGATAGTTCTAGTGTTAACGGACCGGAAGTATTTCAAGTTGTCTTACCGTAAAATACCGTAACATAGATAACAAGTGCAAACAAATTCACAGAAGTGACGTAGCACAATACTTAACATGTTAATTATAAATATTACGACAATAACAGTGACGAAAATAATAAAATGGTTTCTGACGCCATTCAGTAAATAAAAGTGCCATGTCGCTTACATAGCTTACACATGCTCTACTAAATTCAAATCGAAAGGTAAACAATATTCACCTTCACTCGATAAACCAGTACACACCCACGTTTCCGCATTAATTTCTCAAACAAGTATCTGTACCTTTTCAATAATACTAAAAGAAGAAATCGGGTTATTCTGACTTATCTGGTAGTTCCAGTGTTAACCAATCCCAACACTCTCCATTGCCAAGGGAGATCAAGATGCAAATATTCCCATTCGAGGGGCACACATAGTTGTCATCGGCGAGCGTCGCCAGGGTGCACACGCTCAGTAACATTTCCTAGTTAGGCCAATTCCGTACTTTCGCTCGTCACGATTAATTAGCTTAATTCTGGCTTCCTGTTGTGCGTGCACCGCCGCCGGGGCGCCCGGGGCTCACGCTCGTTGCGTGTCACGCCGCCGCATTCCCGGCGTCATAGTTGACGCACGTGTGCCGTCGTAAAAGCACTCGCGGCATCCGCCACGACGGCACTGAGGATGAGCGCCGCCGCCGAGACGACGATCTGCATTTCCGTGCTGTGCATCTACGTGCTCAGAGACACGGCGCCGGCGACCCGGACCAACGATCGTTTCGGTAAGAAGCTTACGCCGACGTGTAAGCTAGCCCCCAACGACGACGCGATCCGATTCACGACGATCGCTGATCCACGAGACGAAAACCAACACTCTTGTCGCGGTTACCGGACCAACGTTGTTGCGCTCCCCGACTAAACCCGATGCGGCTTCTTGCGCGATTCGATGCTCGATAGCCGCTTACGGAGTTCTTGAACGATCCTCCCTGTTTTGTGACCCGTTCCTCCGGTCGCGCTTCGTGGGACGGTTTTATTGAATACGACACTTTGCTGGGAACGATGTTTTGCACGTTGGCGCTTTTGTAATAAAATGTTGATGACATTTGTTGGGATTTATTGAAGAATAGCAGAGGGAGATGAGGCTAGGATTATTTTGTTATAGGACTTCGCGGAGTAACTGTTGATACTGAATATGGATTGTGAGTTTGGGAGGTATTGTTTTTGGTGGGTTAAGTCGATTGAAAAGTTTCTTGTATTTTTTAGTGTTACGGAGGTCGTGCTGTAGTTCTTATGCTCGGTAGAGATATTTGTTGATATTCGCCGCGATGAAATGCGTGTAGATCTATTTTAAGTTAGATTAGTTTAACGGTTGTAAGTAAAGTTATAATTGAATGTGAAGTGTTGAAATTACTGAAATTGTAATTATTAATACTGAAATCATTGAAATTGAAATTATTAAATTTGAAACGGTTGAAATTGAAACGGTTGAAATTGAGATTGTTGAAATTGAGATTGTTGAAATTGAGATTGTTGAAATTGAGATTGTTGAAATTGAGATTGTTGAAATTGGGATTATTGAAATTGGGATTATTGAAATTGGGATTATTGAAATTGGGATTATTGAAATTGAGATTATTGAAAATTGAGATCACTGAAATTGAGATCACTGAAATTGAGATCACTGAAATCGAGATTATCGAAATTGAGATTATCGAAATCGAGATTATCGAAATCAATATTACCGAAACCGAAATTATTGAAATCGAAATGTCCAAAATCAAAATTCCAGAAATCAAAACTATTAAAATTACAACTGCATCACTAGAACTGAACGATTAAACCATGATACACCAAATTGCCTTTAAAACACGATCAATCCACCCAAAAAACGCCCGAAACGTAAATTCCCCAAAATCAATGAACTTTTCCCACGATACAATCTGCCGCACAAAACTATACAAAGTGCCATAATTTCCTTATTTTTTCTGTACGTGTTTCGAGCCAGAACACGTTCAGACCCCTTCCAATCCCGATCGTAGTCACGGAACCTCCGTGCATTAAACCGGGCCGCGTTAATCGTGCACGCATCGAAATCACCGAGGAGAAACGGTTCGCCGTGTACGCTCCTCGTTCGTGACTTAGCGGGAGACCGTGTACGTGCGGGTTTGCCAGGTGTCTGCAAAAATCACGGGACAGTTTCCAGGGTCTCGTGGAGGTAATCGCCTCGTTATTACGGAATTACGTGCAATTACCCTCGGCCGATTAAAGCGGCGTCCAGGATAAGGGGCAAGAAATGATCTTGACTTCGAATGTCGTCCGTCTCTTTCGTTCCCTTCGTTTCCCCCGAGCTTCCCTCCCCGTCTCTAATTCCTTTCTTTCTCGTTTTGCGCTATCGTAGATGGAACGCTAACGATCCGTCTCGTGTCAATGTAACAACCGGTCACGTCTCCGATCTCTGCTTACAGCTCACGGGGAGGAGCCTTCCTTGGAGATCCTGCCGAGCGGGGACACGCAGACGAAGCCAATCGGGTCCAGCATCATCATGACGTGCAAGCCCAAGGTCGAAGACACCAAGCTGATCAAAGACATGCAATGGCTCAATCCGCAGAACCGTGTGATCGATCCACTGAAGTGAGTAGATCGACGACCGATCGACCACGGGAGCATTCACTTTTCGCCCCCTTGTACATTCTCGTTTGGCAGCAATTAATTCCATTGATGATCGGTTAGCTTCGCTCTTTTTCTTGGTTTTTTCGGTGTGGCTTGTGAACCAGGCTGAGCATTATCGCGGCTCGGCGTGGATTCGAACACGATCGGAGTGAAAGGATAATTGGGCAGCGCGATAGGTAATTTAGCGGTTCGCTTTTTTCTGGTTCGTGACTCGGGTCACGCGGCTGCTTAAGATTCAATTTTTCAAAGGAAACGTTTTCGTTTGCTCGTAGCAGGTTAATCGGCGTGGATTTCTTTTTTGCGAAAGGGTATGGATAAGAGGTTCGAAAGACGTGTCAGGTTTTTAGCTTTCGTGCGGATTGAGAGAGTAATGGACAATTTCGATTGTTAAAGTTTGATCTAGTCTAAAAGAAAGTTTATGTTATAGGTACAGAAGTAAAAACTGAGTCTGTTCTGATTTTTTGGTAAGATCTGATTGTAAAAAAATTAAAGCACTCGGAAAAATTGAAGATTCTTATTATAATATTAAACTATTAACACTAATTTATAGAAATTGAAGTATAGGAAGAATATAGAGGACTAGAACCTAAAATTTTATAGACTGTTCCCTGAAAATTTTAAAACATGAAATATAAAGTATGCAATTTGGTGATGAAAAATGAATATCACGAATCATTGAGCAATTATTCACACGTTTGATTACACAGTAGAACTAGAGCACGTTGAGTAACTCGAAATAAAATCACGGCTTCGCGCGAGCGTTCGACCGCCGCCACAAAAGGCTGCTCTGATTTATTAAATCCTTCAGATTTACAGGAACAGACAGCGGCGCAGTCGAAATGTCGTAATTCAAACGATTGTTGGGAGCGAGAAACGAGGAACGGAACGTAAAAATATCGTGACAGGGCAAACAAACGTGTGTCAAGCCAGACGAGAATATACGAGCGAGGGGTGCTCACGCTTTTTGAGCCTCTTTATTTCTTCTTTTTTTTCTTGTTCGTACGATAACAATGCCGCTTTTAGTTGATAATTAAAAGGAGAGAGAGTTATATACAGAGTGTCGCCGGAGGCAACGGGCGAACTGACAATTCGCCGAGTGAGAAAGGAAATAAATTTCGTGCTGAAGTTGACGTCATCGATGACAAGATGAACCGGATGAAACTGTTGAAATCTCAGTCGGTTTGTAGAACATCAATCCTTGTCTCGAGAAGTTTGTCTATTTACTGTAGGGTTCTGCTTTTATTGGAATCTATCAAACATCACCAATCATCGTTGATCTTGATGGATCTTTTGTGGAAGGTAGATATTACAAAAATTTCACGGGAACCTTGCTTGTCTGAAGGGGTGGAAACAACCTTTATATTTCAGAGTGACATATTTATTCGAGTATTTTGATATCTGCCAGAGTTGAAGAGTTCTATACAAATTTGATTGAATAATTTTACCGAAGATCTACTGAATTTTATTCAATCTACCAAACATGTATTAAATTTTATTTAATCTATCAAAAAGTACTACATTTTATTTAATCTATCAAAAATATACTAAATTCTATAGAATCTATCGAAGATCCATTAAATTTTATTCAACCGAAGGTCTACAAAATTTGATTCAATAATTCTACCAAAAATTTACTAAATCTTATTCAATCTACCAAAGATCCATTAAACTTTATTTAACCTCCCAAAGCTCTACGAAAGCTGATTCAATAATTCTACCAAAAATCTACAAAATTTCATTCAACGATCCCATCAAAAATCCACTAAAGGTTCGTCAAGATCAAACATCAATCCACCCAATTAAACCTACATTAATCTCTAAGAACAGAAAAAACCAAAACAGTGAATCTGCAATCGAAATCCGTCAGCTATTCTACCATCGATCGAACAGTTCGCCCGTCGACCCGCAGACGTATTCAATGTGTACAAGTAAACGAAACGATAAAGTCTACCACACGAGTAGTACACGTACCCAAGCCACTAATTTAACAAATTTCTGTCTTCACTTGTTTTGCACACAGACTCGTCGTCTTGCCGATCGAAAGGCGAGTATAACAAAACTGAATTCAAGACTTTTTACACGCAACTGTAGTGTCGTCGTTCCAGCTGTCCCCTCTGTTTTTTGCGACATGCTGCCCTTTCACTAGTTTCACTTTTAGTTTCTGTCCAGAACATAGACGACTGTTTTTTATTCTCATCTACCACCATCATCGCCACCATCGCCGTGCAACCACATACACATATATACCGTCTCGCATACACACGTACACGGAAAAACACCCCCCGCATACCCCTCGGTCGCTGATTTACGTCTACTACAGACTGTACAGGGGGCTCTTAATTGCTGGCTCCGCCGATTGTTCTGCGAACTAAGCGTTGCTCATTAAGCTGTTCGCGAAAGTTTTCCGCCTTCCAGCCGGTAAACCGACTTCCCGTTGTATTTGAACGTTAAACGGACTCGCCCCCTGTGTACACTTCGCCGTTCGGGCAAGAAAACCACAGGGAGATACAACGCGCTGAAATAGACGTTAAAGGATACTCGCGGGCGTCATTTAATGACGCGGCCGAGTGCCACCAGCAATTAAGTAGCTCTGTCCCTACGTCGATGTTTTCGTTGCCCTTTGTCGGGGCGCCACGTGATCGTCGCCTAGATGGAACGTCTGATTAAATGGAATATTGAGAGAATTGATTTGATGTTAAAGACGTACTGGGAGTATATTTAAAAATTCTTTTGTCGAATAATTATCATTGAATATTGTACATTTGATAATTTAATTAGAAAATTTATGAAAATGAAGATCAATGGTTTTTGATCATTTTTATAGTACCAGGAGTATCAATTTTGATGCAAAGAAGAGAATTTTTAAATACTCGAATAGCCCCTCATTAATTCAAATCTATTAATTTATTACTCAAACATTTTAGACGTTGCATCAAATCTCACCCCATCTCAAGTAGACTGTGGATTTCACGAAAATTCACGCTCTGACAACCAAATCTACAAAACCTAAGTTAAAAATCATTTTCTATAAGTATCACGATTAATATTCTAATTCCACCAAAATGATTTATTCCATAGATAACTGCATAAAACCCGCAGTCTACCCACTGATGCACCTGAAAAATTCTGTTCACGTCCGCGCCTCACGTGGCGCCCGCATAGTTTCAACCCCCTCCGCCGATCGCGACCGCCGTCTTCCCAGTGTTAATCCGCTCGATGACGTCTGCCCGCACTGTTAATAAATAATCCATGCCGATGAACCCCGCCCTCCGCCTCACCCCCGCAAATATTTGACCGCGGGATCAAACAATCTAACGAGCGTTAACCTCGGTAACTGATTCGTCGTGATCGCGTGTTTGCCCGATTACGCGGGCCCCGTTCGCGATTTGCATAATTATGTCCGCTCGTCGCGGGGAGTAATGGCCGATAAATTTGCCGGGGAACGCGCGCAGAAACACCGGGCCGTTTCATTAATTGTGCTCGACCGTGTCCCGATCGGAAGGGAAAGAAGAGCAACGGAATTGCATAATCGTCGTGCTAACACTGTTATCGCGCCCGGCGCATCGCCTCGTCGTGTCAGTTTTAATCGTTCCGCCAAACCCCCTTCCCCCTGCTCGTTCCCGTACCGAGTGCACCCTGTTCCTCTCCCGTGATCGTCCCGTAGAGTAATTCTATTGAATACACGATGCTGGCGCTGCGAGAATTTTCCAGGAAATTCCGGGAAAGTCAGTTCTTTAATTGCCGCGTGTGTAATTTGGCTGATCGCGCGGTTGATAATGAAACGAATAATTCGCGTAGTTCGTGCAGTGGTATTCTTGGAATCGGTTGAACTGAATTCTGCTTCAAATTTGGATGGAATTGTCGTTAAGTAGTGCTTTCGGAAATGTTCGAGGTGGACTATTTTTCGGATTAAGGACGGTGGAGGTAACTATTAAAGTTAGCAGTGGGGAATTCTTATCTGTGATTGGTATATTTCAGAAAATATCTTTGTGGAATCTAATGGGAGTAACACAAAATTTTATTTAGCAACATTGTTTAGTATTTAATAAAGATATCAGCTTACTAAATACATTTTGGGGCACTCCATTTTCTATAGTAATATTTAAGAGTTCTCAGTAATGTAATATTATATCTCAATATAGTGTTTTATATACAATCAATTTTATATATTATTATCAATATGTTATTATCAATGTCAATGTAGTATTATAGTAAATAATTCCCAACAAAAATAATATAGATATTTTTCTAATACCTAATAATATCCAATGTCTATTTCTAATACCTAATATCTCATATCTATTCCTAATACCCAATAATATCTAACACCTTCACACACTTTTCTCCTTCACCCGATACCAAATATCCAAACACTGTCAAATCCACTATTTCCAAAAAGCAATTATAAATAAAACACAAAGCATCCCCAACAGTAAACAGCAACTCAAGTTCCCAAATCCCAGCAACCAACAGCATACCGTAGTTCACAGCTGCACCAAAATCATCGTCTCGACCGCAAGCAGCCCCATGTCCTCTTTCTTCGCGGAACGATCAGTCCCCAGGAGCGTTTCCTACCTCCGAAAGGGTTCATTAAACCGTATCGCTGCTGACGCGACCGGTTCGGGTCCGAACTATTCATTACAACGCGATTCAACGGCCGCGTGGACCGCCTTATCTGTCGCGTGCACTGCCAAGCGACCCCGGCAAATTGCGCGAATTCACGTGGATGTGCCCAGTTGCCAGCAATTCCCGCGTCGCGCAATACAAACGGCGGAATTGCCGGCCCCGCGTGGCTCGCGATCCAAGCACGGAGCCGGCCGGCCCTTACGTCGAATTAAGGACGATCGATCCAGAGCGGCGCGGCTCGATCTCGCCGCCATCGATCCGAATTCGACGGTCACTTCGACCCCCGCACTAGACGTTTCACCCCTTCACCGTCATCTTCTCTCTCTCGCTCGCTCGCTCGCTCGCTCACTCACTCGTTCCCCAGCTCGCCCTCACCTGTACCGTAACGATATTTCACCGATATCGGCTCGACGTTTCGTGTTTAGAACGCGGATTAGTTGCGCGACGCGATTTACGAGCTTTATATTGGCCGTTCAACGGTCGGAAGTTGGCTTTATGGGGAATTATGAACAGCCGCGCCGGTTATTGCCCGACTAAATTTTACTTTGCCAAGGATACGTTTTAAGTATCGTCGAGGCTTTAGCAATTCACGCGTCGTTCTCGGTGATTTTCCGATGAAATTTCGGACATTGTGAGGTGGAATGAGAAGCTTGGGGATTGCTGAAATGTGAACGATGGATGTAGGAATAATTGAAATATAGGGGAAAGTAGGGTAGCGTGGGAAGCTTTTCTTTGAAGCGTAATAACGAAGTATCTGCAGCAGTAAACGCGTGAAATCTGCTTTGGGAATCTTAAGTAAACCGTTGGCTATAAGGAAATAAGAGATTTTTTGATAGTAATATTTAGTTATAAGGGAAAATATGATTTTCTAAAAGTATTGAAGTAACCGCCTCGCGAATAATGGTAATGTGAAACGGAACAAACAAAATTGCTAGCTGAATATATGTAATTGTTATCTGATATAAATAACCTACAAATATATGTATGATTTTAAGAACAAAAATGACAAATGCCATCTTTTTCTGTAGTAATGCAATCTTATTCGTCAATTTTTATCTCATCTTCTATTCTAATTTACTGCACATCAATACGATTATACGTAACCAATTAAAATATTAAAGAAAGCGCAGACTTATTAGAACCATATCATGCGATATCAGTTCGATACGGGCTCTTTATTTATGAAAAACGTTACTGTTCCGTTTTACCCTATTTTAAAAATACAGATAATGTAAATTGTATAATAGTTAATGGAAAATTGGTTTGTTAGTTTGTATTCGTTAAAGCGTTAAAGAAACTTTGAGCCGAGATCGTTACGTGTTATACGATGTCACACCCCCCTCGCCGCCCACCCTCTTTAAACTCTTCAATTCATCTGAACGTTCAAGCTCATCATCATAGAACGTAGATATCAGTTTATATGCTGTGAATTATCCCGATTGTTCTGTAATCGTTCAATTATTTCCTGTAGCACGTTCCCGGGACAATTGAAACCGCCGATGTACACCGAATTGCACCAGGACAACATTCTGTCACTGTACTTCAATTCGCTTCAAGAGGAACAGGCTGGAAAATACACGTGTCGAGGCACTTACGCGAACTCGATATATTTGAACAAGTCCGTAACGATCGATACAATTGGTGAGTAAAGTAATTCCCATTCGAATATTGGTTGGCCAACATTTGACACGGCATTCGGAGTTATTCGGAGTGAAATCGCTGTGAATATATCCGAACTGCATAATTTATCCATAACGTCAGCATTCTTTCGTGTCGCACGATTGTACGAGTAAAGTTCGAATAAACAAGGAATAGTATTCATAATTTACGATCCGTACGAATAATTTAGATATTTTCAAAACATTAGTATGGAACATTAGTGACACATCTGACGTCTTGATCAGACACGCGGGAGTACCGCAAAACTCTGTGGAGAATTAATTAAAGTACTTTCAGTAATTCTCAATTTTTCATCCAAAAAATACACTGCATTAACATTTCCATACAGTAACTTAGTTAACATAATTAAACAAAATTAAGCAATAAATACTAGATTTCAGATAACGAATTAGTAATACAAGAAGATTCAATGAAGGACGAAAAAATGATAAAAACTAAAGAATAGTCGAATTAACACAGTTCACTCAATTAAACGATGATTATTTTAAACCATTTCTATATTATAAATCATGCTACCGAATGCAGTGATATTCAGCTATAGATGAACGTGCAATAATAATAATGTAATTCAATCAAATGGTTTAACATTACATTTTTTCATTTTGTGTATTTTCGTCTAAGAAATCGTACGGCGTTCGTGTTAGAAAACGATTCATCGAAGAAAGACATTCATAGATGTCATTCGTAGAAAGATTTATACACGTATTATGTTACGGTGCAGTCGATAAACATCCTTTCGTTGAGTGAGTGGCGACAAAGTGGAAATCTGAATGGCAAAATCTTGTTTCGCAGTTGCGATCACTTGGGACAATGCACCTGAGAATCAATACCCTATTCTGGGCGAAGACTTCGCGATTCAGTGCAAAGTGCGGGCTCGGCCCTCGCCCTTAGTCGACTGGCTCTACAACGGTGAATTAATTAAGACGAACGACCGCTACGTAATAGACAAGAACGCGCTGACGATCAGGAATGTGCAAAAATCCGACGACGGCGTCTACACTTGTCGGGCTTCGGTGTTGACTACCGGGGAGCTTAAAGAACGAACCATTCATGTCGAGGTGAGCATTAGAAACTTCCGCTTCTTTACACCGAGTGTTCCTCCGAGCGAGACTATTCTCTAAACCCTTCAGACCTGACGCATATCATCATGCACATGGTTTGATTATTTTAATGTATGACGAAATATTAAAATATTATTGTATCAAATACGATAGACGATATTAAAATATTGCGTTGAATCTATTTTTATTGAGAAAGCACACTGTCTCTATTTTATTCGAAATAACTGCTGATGTGTTGAACGGTGATTATTTGTTGTTAGAAAGTAAATAATTTTGTGGTAAAAAGCAAGTCTGAAGGGTTAATTAAAAATATGAATATTGATGATTTCTTAAGAGCTCTGTTTCAGATTGTTCTTTCATTGAGTGAATATTATTTATTTCTCAAAATACTTCTCTTGCTTTGCTAATACAAATTAGAAACAGTAGAATAGAATTTTTCGTTTTATCTGCGGTATCTTTTAACTAAGAATCATATTTTATGATATTCGATTAGCTGGCATTGAAACATCGACAATAATTGGAATACAAAAAGGATTTGAACAATACATACAGTTATTTTGACAATAGGTGTATAACGTACAAATAAAATCCATCCTGCCAAGTGCAACAGCAGCGAATTAAATTACAGTATTGTGCTAGGAAATGAATTTCACCAAATGATCCTGTGAACAAATTCTGTAATATTTTATTATCCGTTCAGTAACGTTCCATTAAACGCCCAACGACATAGTATTCAACTCGAAAATCTACCATGTCACTCACAGAGATTCATTCTACAATTTCCCCCGAATATTTAACCAGAAATCTGTCGCGAAAAATGCAGGGTACTAAATAATATTTTTAAAAAATCGAAACTCTGAAAATTTGAAAATCACGTTACTGCACCATCACAATAACAAAATCTGCACGTTCAAATATCTCAAGCACGCCCCACCATCCAAACAATATCATCGCTCTCCCGAACCCCGTCTCATCATCGCCAGCGAGCATACCGCGCCGGAACGCGTGACAAGCGCGTCCGCATTTAACGCCGACCTCGTCGCACACGACAATTATTCCCAGCAGCTCCTCAACCAGACGACAGTCGCGTCAGCCGAGGTTTGCGTTTCATTTCGCAGGTCCACGTGCGTCCAACGCTGGAGGAGGATCACCCGACCATGGTGGACATAATCGAAGGCGAGGACGCGAGCATACAATGCAAAGCTCACGGCAAGCCGCAGCCAAGTATCAGCTGGGTGAAATTGTTGAACCAACAAAACTTGTCCGACGCTGACCGTTTCGGAGTGAACCCGACCACAGGGGTGTTAACTATCACCAACGTGAACCGCGAGGACTCGGGCAAGTACCAGTGCACGGCGACGAACGCGGTTGGCAGCGCCACGATGAACATCACGGTGAACGTAATCGTCAAGCCGAAGATCATCGATTTCCAGAACGGCACCGTGGTGGAGAGCAAGGAAGCTACTATCGTGTGCAAAGCGTTCGGCAGGCCTCCGCCGGAAGTCACGTTCCGCAAACACACGTCGCAGAAGCCGTACGAAAAGGGCGCGCAGCCTGACGACGACAGGATCATCCTCACGAACAGCCAGGACGATACCAAGTGGGAAACGGTGGGCACGCTGACGATCCACGAGTCGATGCGATCCAACGACGGCTTGTACGAGTGCATCGCCCAGAATGCAGGCGGCGAGGACCGTAGGAACGGTCATCTCACTGTCGAGTTCCCGCCATCGTTCGCCTCGATGACCAATAAGACCGTTTGGTCCTGGGAACAAAGGCCGGTCAACATCAGCTGCATCGCTGAGAGCATACCGAACGCGACGATACGCTGGACGAGTCACGGCGACAAGCAGATCGACAACGACGCAATGATCAAGCAGCTTGGCACCGGCCCGCTGTCCACTTTGATGATCGTGCCGCTGGACAGGAGGTATTACACCACGTACAAGTGCATCGCGTCCAATGTCCACGGGACCCGGGAGCACACCATCGAGTTACAAGAGGCGACCAAGCCCGGCGACGTCCAACAGTCGAAGATGATCGAGATCACCGCCACTACGATACGGTTTGAACTTGTACCGCCGACTACGCATCCGGAATTGCCGGTCAGGGCCATCACCGTGCAGTACAAAGAGGACACCCAGACTTGGTCGGAAGCTAGGAATCAGACGTGGTCTGCCGGTGAGTGAGAAAGGGGGTTTCCAGGGGTTGCTCCTTAGGGTGGAAATTCTGGAGCGAGTTTGAAGATTTTGAGATTTTGAGTTTGTGATTATGATTCGTGTGACGCTATGTTGGTGTTTGTAGGGTTTAGATACTAACAAGGGAACCTCTTTAACTAGCACACACTGATTTTGATGAGATTCTTGTGAGACGTAGTTCTTGGGGAATATTTGACACGTTGTTTCTCTTATTGGATAACATTCAGTTTGAACGAGTGAATACACCCCTCAGAGTTGAGGATTGAAAGTGTATTTTTTACAGTATCTCTGAAACTAGGAGATGTAGGAAAGAAATCTAGATTCTCTACATCCACTAGTTTCAGAGATATTGTAAAAAATAAACTTTCAACCCTCGAGTTTGTGGGATGTTTTCACTTCTTCAAAGTGAATGTTGGCGGATAAAAACATATACGTGTCAAATATTTGCTTGAGAACTATGTTTCATACAAGCTTCATAAAAATCGACGTGTGCTGCTTGAAAGGTTCATTTATAAGGTAAAATTGGGACAGCGAATTTGACACGTTCGATATGAAATTACGAACAGAAATCAATAGATATAGAATAGTTCACTTACAGTTTAAGAAATATTAATTATTTCCTTTTCACTAGAAACTAAATACCACTGTTTTTATTATAGACATACAACTCTTCTAACGAAGACTAGCTGTTAGATCTGCAATGTCTCTTGTTTCTCCCAACAAAACAGTACCAATCTCTTTAGTGCCTACTAAGTAAACTTAAGTTATTATAACTTTCCTAAAAATAAAGATAAACCTCCACTTTTTCTTGATTCCATTATAAAATCTATGTAGCAATCTATGTCTCAAGGTATTTCTCGCGAATCCTGCATTGCCGATATAATGGCCGTTAAGAGGGTGAAATGACCATCACATCTATGATTATTACTGTCGAGCAAAAAAGAGGACCAAGATAGAAATGGCAATTATATAATTTCAGAGCCTCCGTACGTCTTGGAGGGTCTGAAACCGCAGACAGCATACGAATTCCGGTTCGCCGCGCAGAACGAGGTCGGGCTGGGCAACTGGGGAGCCTTGTACCGTGAAGTCACACCCACCAGGACCTTCCCGAATCAGCCGAAGATAATCTCGAAAAAAACCGAGTACGATCTGTCCGCGTTCAACAATCAATACGAGCTGTCGTGGGTGGCGCCGGCGGATAACGGCGAGCCGATCGACATGTACGAGATCAAGTTCTGTCAAATAAGACGCGTGGCCGGCGAATGGCAGATGTTGGAGAGCTCCTGCCGGACGGATGAAGTGAAGACGCAAGGCAGGACGAGGCACTGGCTGAAGAACCTGGTCTCGGACACCTTCTACAAAGTCGAGCTTAGGGCGCACAACAAAATCGGCTTCAGCCAGCCGGGAACGTCGAAATTCAAGACGGCAAGGGGTAAGTGTCGTTTTCCTTAATTATCAGGATACTTGATTTATTCATTTATTTCTACGTATATCTATATACATATACATCATACATATTACATCATTGGAGAACGGTGGTTCGATTCATTCGCCAATTTGTTTCATTCTTCGAGGTCCATTTTTCCGTCAGTATTAGTGCCCTTTTTCAAGTCGTA